GAGAGAGAGAGAGAGAGAGAGAGAGAGAGAGAGAGAGAGAGAGAGAGAGAGAGAGAGAGAGAGAGAGAGAGAGAGAGAGAGAAATGTGATCTCGTTTACTTGTGAAATACTTGGTGCAGTCGGTTAGGGAGGAGGATGAAGTGGAGGAGCAAGAGCAAGGCGAGCATAATGCTTATGCTAAAGGAGGTGGTGAAGACACACGAGGATTGGATGAGCAGGCAGCATGTGTTGAGCCTGGGCAAAGGCAGGAAATCGAGGGGAAAGAGACTGTAGGAAAGCGCACAGAGAGTGGCTTGGAGCTAATGTTGCTGCCTGCGCCAACACCACGGAGTTCGATTTCGGCGAAGCAGACGGAGCGTATCGTCCTTCTGGAGGCAAGAAAGGCTCTTCCTGTTGGTGCTATACTGTCAGTGCTATTTCTTGCTTGTCATGTGTCAGAGACAGCTCTTCTGCCAAATGATATTTGCAGGTACCTAATGAAAAATGGGTATGGGTTATAGCACATTTAAGCATGGTTGTTGCCTTTTCAGCCAAATCTATAGGCTTAAATAGTCATGGCCTTTTCAGCCAAATCTATAGGCTTATATAGTTATGGCTGAGTGGGGTGCAAAATTGCGAACTCAGATCCCAGACTCCTCAGAGTTTGCAACTTTGCCCCTTTCCTTTTTTTTTTTTCCTCTGACATCTGTTAAAATTGGAACGATACAGAGAGAAAGAAGTTTAGCATGGCCCCTGCGCAAGGATGACACGCATAAATTGAGAAATGGTCCAAATTAAAAAAGAAAAAAAAAAAAGTTTGGCTGTCGTTACCTTTTGTTTTGTTTTGTTTTCTCTTTCTCCTTTAACTACGCAGAGACAGGCAAATAGACAGACATGTGACAATAGATATTGTTACCTTTTTTTTCTTTTTTCTTTTTTTAACGAATCTGTAGAGAAGAGAGAATATTATGTGTATACACTGCATAGTGAAAACGCAAGGGGTGCAACTCGCTTGCAGTTAAGCTTAAAGCTTATCATGGAACATGCCCCCTCTCATTCAGCCACCTATTGAAAAATAGTATTTCACTCGGAGAATGGAGGATATGTTACTCACGTGAAGCGCACAGCTTGTCTTTCACATTGTTGATCATAGAGACTATCACGGTAGAATCAGTGGCTGAGTTGTTTGGATGGGTGTTTATCCTGAGGTATTCCTAGAGTGTATGCATACCTCCGTAAGTAATTTAGTACAACATGGGAACTTTGGGCCCCTGAAAGGCCTCGTCATTACCGAGCAGTCCCCTAAGCGGGTAAGAGGACTTCGCTCGGGAAATGGAGGAAACGGGGGAGTCTTCATTACCGACCAGTCATCTATGCGAGTCTTCCATTTAAAAAAAAAAAAAAAAAAAAAAAACGATAAGGTGAAGAAACATAAAAAAAGCTACCGAGCAAAGTTTATCCCAGACCCAGTTACTCTTTGCTGATTCAAAAAATGGTTTTTTAATTAAAAATTAATAAAAACTTAAAAAGCATTTATAATTTTATATTTGCTATATTACTGCATTTCTGAACTATCTATCCTATCTCTAATCCAATAACTGAGGTAAGTCCTAAGATCTGGAGATTCTGAAAAAGGATGCCGAAATTTCGAAACATGTGTTCTGGAGGTGATCCAGACGCTGCTCACAGCGACGCGACGGTCGGTACCTCAACAGACATTGCTCTCAATGTCCCCTCAGTCGTCTCAACGGACACTGTCATTAGTGACCATGGAATCTCCTTCTGATACACAGTGAAAGGACTTCGCCTTCCTTGCCTGCCGAGACTCGATCCTGGGACCTGTTCTTTCGCCCTGTTGTTGTTCGTGTTGCTGTCTGTTGTTCGTCATATGGAGATGTGTTCTATTTTTTGTCTATCTAGTATCTACTGTATGCCTGAGTGTTGCTGCTGGAGCTTGAACCCAGAATCTGATGATGGTGACCATGGAATCGCCTTTTGATACGCTGCAAAAACGTTTGTTCGCAGTGAGTACAGTCCTACCACCTTCACTTGGAATAGAACGCCCGGTTATTATAGCGGTATAGCTGCTGTAATATATTTGGGGCAACTTTCAGTTTTATGGTAGGTGAACTGTTCACAGTGACCATGGATTTTGTTGTATGCTTGAAATGTGGCAAGATTGTGGGCGGGAGTTGAGGGTAAAAGCTGAAAGGGTTTTTTTTTTTTTTTACAAGTTTTTTTATTTTATTTTTCTAGTAAAGGAAATTTTGTTTTGGGTGGGGGGTGGGGAGGGGGAGAAGTAGTAAGAAGGCAGGGAGTTTCTTGTTTTTTTTTTTTTCAGAGGGCAGGGAGGTGACTGAAGTGCTTCAAGGGCATATTCAACAATCAATCCTCCCACATGGGAGTAATCAATGCTGTTCGGAGGTTTCCCTGGCAGTAATAAGGGGAAGAGTACGTTGCATTTGGTCAATGGTTCCCCCCCCCGCCTCCTCCCTCTGTGTGTGTGTGTGTGTGTGTGTGTGTGTGTGTGTGTGTGTGTGTGCGTGTGTGTGCTCAATGTGTTTGAGTCTTTGACTTGCCGGTGGGGTTATAAACCGGACGGCTGCCGCCTAAGCGGGTAAGAGGACTTCTCTTTTACGTCTTTTTTTTTTTTTTGTGTGTGTGTGTGTCTGTGTGTGCGCGTGTTTGTGTGTGTGTTTGTGTGTGTGTGTGCATGCGGCCAGAACAGAACAGAGCAGAGCAGAGCTAGGACCATAAGGACCTGTTGAAAAAGAGAGGAAAAAAAGTTGTGAATATAGAAATATAGAAATGAAGAGGTCAATTCTGCAGGATGTCATAATGTTAGGGAGTACTGCCATTCGTGGGACAAAAAAAAATTGGGAAAAAGGTAAATTGGAATGATACAAAGAAGAGAAGATTAGCATGGCCCCTGCACAAGGATGGCACACATAAATTGAAAAACGGTCCAAAAAGGGTCCAATTAAAAAGACAAGAAATGTTTGGAACGATACAGAGAAGATTAGCATGGCCCCTGCGCAAGGATGATACGCATAAATCGAGAAATGGTCCAAAAAAATAAATAAAAAAAATGATCGCTCTCAAATGCTACTCTCAGAGCATTAGCATTTGGATATTCTGTTCATGTTCTGGGCCTGCTGGCTGTAATTTTGTTCATGTTCTGTCTATTCTGTTCATGTTTTGGCTATAATTCTGTTCATGTTTTGGCTATAATTCTGGTAATGTGTTGGCTATAATTCTGCTCATCTTCTGGCTATAATTATGTTTATGTTCTGGCTGTAATTCTGTTCATGTTTTGGCTATACTCTGTTCATGTTTTGCAGGTGGGCTTTAGGGGGAGAGATCCCTTACCTGAATGCATTTTCTAAGCTCCCGCTGAGAATCCGTGAGAGGATTCCTTTCAGTTACTTAGCGCCAATGGTGAGCCACCTTTGCTCTTCGATCAATAAGTCAAGGGATCAAACTCCATTGCTGTTAGGCAAATGGTGCAGGCTGTGCGCTATCGCTGCTTTGATAAATTGAACCCCCCTCCGATATGTAAGTCGAGGGTCCGAAGCTCTGACCCTACTATTGCGTACGAATGCTGCTCAGTGTTGCTCCCCCCCTTTAAACCCCTTCAGCCCCGTTAAAATTCATTTATACTGTGGAAATATACAATGGTGGTAATCCTCTCCATCCCTCCCTTTGCTCTTTGTTCCCTCTCTCTGTTCTTGTACTTTGCTTATCTGGAAATTGCTTGGCCATTGCCGAAATCTCATCCGTCCAGCTTGCATTGCAGGCAAGGCTTTTCTTACAGTTAACTCTTGGCAAGTTCTTCTATTAGGCTATAGTCACACACAGACTGTTTTCTCTGCAGAATTTTGTCATGACAAGGATTGCAATGGCGTGGATGGCCGCGACTCCAACCCCCCAAAGGATGTGCAACCAACCAGTTGGCGGACCCCGCCGACCGGTCGGTCGGCAGTCACCCACTGGGTGAGTTTAGGAAGGAAAGAAGGAACGCTGGTGCTGTCCTGCACATACCCTGAGCAGCCCGAAACAGCTGTGAAAAGTTATACTATGTTTTTGGGTGGTTCGGGTTTTGTGTATGTGGAGGAGAGGGGGGGGGAGGGGAGGGGAGGGAGGAGGTATTGGAAAGCTAATTAAACCGCCAGTACACAGCCCTAGCCTCGCAGAAAGTCGCGAATTGGCGACTCCAAACTTTTCGGGGCTCGGGGCTACCAGACCACCATGACTGGCAGTGCCCGCCAAAGAGGTAAAAAGGTGCAGCGCTGGCAGTTCGGAAAAGCTGGGCGCGCCTCCAGGATGGGGTGGGTGGAATGGCAGTTTAAGGAGAGTAGCTTCGGACAGGGGATATCTCTTGTCAAAAGCTGGTTGCACGAAGTGGCAGGGGATAAACAGACCACCTATTCACCGATCGGGATCTTCATTTTCTGAAGACCTCACCATTGAAACCTGCAGCGGAGAAGAAGCAGGAAAAGAAGAAGAAGAAGCAGAAGGTGAAGAAGAAGAAGCAGCAGAAGGAGAAGAAGAAGAAGAAGCAGGAGGAGAAGAAGAAGAAAAAGCAGGAGGAGGAGGAGGAGGAGGAGGAGGAGGAGAAGAAGAAGAAGAAGAAGAAGAAGAAGAAGAAGAAGAAGAAG